CTCCCCAGCACAGAATTTCTTCATTCCAGCTTCAGTGCATTACAGCATACCCCAAGCACAATACTACATTTTGAAAGGTGTGAAGAGAGTAAGAGTGTATGCCTTTTAGAGTCCCTAGAACACTTACTTAGATGAACTAATGCAGATACAGATGGAGAGACGTACGCATTGAAGACTGTACATAGCTGTGGAAGCACAGGATGGACAAATAGATAACTGTCATGTCATCTGCTTTGTTAGAATGCAAAAGCAGAGGACCGCTTAACTTCAGAATTATTCAGTAAGATGGTTAGAACCCAATCCCGAGATATAATAAAAGCAAGGAAACACAGATATCCATAAAGATAAAGCAAAGAGAAAACAAACAAACAAACACAAACATCCTATGGAAAAGTGCACAAAATGGTGTGACTTAGGGAAGTGGAGGAGAGGGCTTTTCTGAGAATCCAGTCAGTTCAGACCATGTCTACTTAGAGTCCTAGAGGAAAAATCCTTTACGTGATCATCAGCTAATTAGCATTGTAAGTTCTTAGTCTCAAGTTTCAGGGAACATTTTTACTAGAGTGTAATTTTTATTTAGTTTATGGAAAAATCAAGATCCTAATTTTTAAATTTATTCTAATTTTAATATTATTTGCTATGGAGGTGAGAAGCTGAATTAAAGTACGGAGGCTTTGTGAGAGCTGATAGAATTGTTTGTTCTAGCAAACTGCGGCTCATCTGCCTCTAAATTCACATTTATCCAAGCAAATAACTACAGAGTGTATACAATGGTCAGAGGTTATATTCAGAGAACAGAGTAGATAGACTATTAGGAGACAGATTTCCAAGGAAGAAATGATTGCACTTTTTCTTCTGAATGTTTTCTGTTTTTTATTTTTCTGAGAGGGAGTAATTTTTGCCATAGGGCGCATGTGCTCACCAAACTGACAGAGAGAAAGTGAGAAGTCATCCCCCAGCAGGGATGGTCATGCCTCAATCCCTTCTCCTCCATTCTCCTCTTGGGATTTTGGGCACACACGCACACGCACCCAGCATGAGTTTTAAGCTGCCAGATCTGGGACTCAAACCACAGTCGACTATGTGGGATTCCAGGGATATAACCATTATGCCATCTGCTGGTCCCCTGAATGGTCTTTTTAAGACATACTTAAATTCTGTTAAAGAATGTATTGGTGACAGAATTATAGTCTAGGTTTGGTAACTTCCGTACTGTCCATCACTATGTGGTCCTTCACACAAACATATTTCTAATTCTGTCTTTTCACTAGGATGAATTTATAGTATAGATCATCAAAATATATAGCATATGAAAACCTATCATTAGAAGAGGGTTTCTTACTTTACATTTTTTCCATGAGTAGCAAAACAATCTGCTAACTATTAGCAGAAGCCACTTTGATTTTCACAACATCCTATAAAGTAGGCATTTTTATTATCATTTCACAGATTAGAAAACTGAGACTTAAAGACAGGTTAAGAAGTTTTGCCATGTCACTCAGCTAGTAAGTTGCCTGGCTGAGGTTTGAAGCCAAGTCTCTCTGATTCTAAAACCATGCTTTTAACATTCTTCACTATTGTCTTCCAAAAATGCTATGATAGAAGTGAAAAAGTAAGAGAAAAATGGAAGGAGTCACACAGGTGTGTTTATAATACAGTAAGCTTATGTATTTAAAATATTTTCACCTATACTTTTTTGTTTTGTTTTGTCTTTGCCATAGGGCACATGCACTCGCCAGAGAGAGACAGAGAGAGGAAAGTGAGAAATCACCTCCTGGGAGGATGGCCACACCACAATCTTTTCTCCTCTACTCTCCTCCTGGTATTCAGCGTGCATACGCACACATGCCTTTTCAAGCTGTAGTCCAGGACTTCAACTATGATCGGCCATGTGGGAATCCAGCTCCTTAACCACTACAGCCCCTACTGGCTCCAATCTATACATGTTTTATGCATGCAAATTTTCATGAATGTATTATATAATACAAAATACAGCTCACTGCAATTTCTCAATGAACAAATTTCTAGACTAGTCAGTGACAGCCTGATATATGAGTTCCCTCTTTTCTTTTTTTTTTGACGTCCATTACAAGCTTATGAGGTTAGACTATCTCTAGTTAGAGAGTTTCTGGGTGTTCTGTGCCCTATTTCTGCTTAAGAATCAGGTCGCAGGGAAACGAGCAATCTTAGATGCAAAGCTTCACTTCCCGTCTATCCTCAGCTCTGTCTGATCTCAGGTCTCTTGTAGACTGTTACAAATTTCTAGAGGTAGATCTCTGAACCTACTTCCAAAAGGCTTTCTCTGATTTCTTCTGATTCTTCCAGTCAGCAGACTCCCCCCAGCATGTCCTGCCTGTGGCCCAGCAGATTGAGGGCATTGTTGTTTGAGGATGTTTTGCTGTGTAGGCATGATAGCAACTGAAGTCTGTATCGAGTTTCAGCACTTTTTATTAGAAACTTGCTTGTCAGTCTGAATTTGTAGCAGTGTTAATGTAGACGTTTGAGACAGATCCTGAGTTAGTCACACTTGTACTGTAACACTGCCAAAGTCCTTGTCCCAATGAAAGGTATCTCCTCACTTATCAAATGCAGTCCTGCAGCAATGCCGAAGAACACAAATACAGATTGTCATTGTGTAGCACCTGGCTGCTTCCACACTGAATAATATCGAACATGTTCTTAAAGTTCTGACAAACATGAACAGCAAATATATACCCTGAGAGGTGATGTGTAGTGCTGGTGTAGAAGATATAGTATTTCTTTCTTTCTTTCTTAACTGTACTTAACTTTATTTATTTTAATTTTTTTAATTTATTTTTTAATTTGACCAGAAAGGGACAGAGAGAGAGAGAGAAAGTGAGAAAGCAAACTGCTAGGCCCAGGGCTTGGACTGTGGTTGGCCATGTGGGAGTGCAGCATATTTACCCTCCACACGACCTGCCGGCTCCAAAGATATGGCATTTCAGTTTCAAGAATAGTTAATATTCCTGAAGTCAGGATGGTGAGCTACTCAGTTTAATAAAATAAGAAAGTACTATGTCAGCATAATTCCTTCCACTGATGTGGAGCTATCCTTGAGTGCTCTTTCTGCATTAAATTAATAATTTGTGTTTTTTGTACTATAATTTACCTGCTTGGCACTCAAAAGCCCTTTCCTCGTATTGGCCTCTGAGTTTCCTTTTGAGTGATAACCTCTCTAAAAGTCTGAGGACAATGTAGATTCATTATGGAAGTTTCCCAAAATGATAGTAATGTTTCCAAATATAAAATCTGCAAGTTGAAACTTGAATTCCTTCTAGACAAATTTCTTTATTTTATAGAAAATTTATTAAATTCCAGAGAAGTCTATTAACTTATCAGAGCCCACAATTATATAGCTAGAGTAACATTATTAATTGCCCATCCTATTATAACCATCTGAAATTTATTAATTGTTACACATGGAGAAGACTACCAATATTTCCTGAAGACTGTTTTTCTAATACGACTTTATTGCCCACAAGTGTTTATTAAAACATTAATTCAGGGGCCAGATCATGGTGTGGTGGTTGGGGTGCTGGACTCCCACATGGTCAACTGCAGTTCAAGTCCTGGACCTGGCAGCTTGAAACTCATGTTGGGCACATGTGTGTGCATGCCCAAAACCCTAAGAGGGGAATGGAGGAGAAGAGATTATGACATGGCCATCCCCCCAGGGAGTAATTTCACTTTTTCTGTCTTTCTGTTTCTCTCTATCTCTCCAGCTAGCACACACACTCTCTAGCAAAAATTTCTCTTAAAAAAAATTAACTCAGTATAAATACTAATTGTCCTGATCCGATCAATACACATCGTATTTTTCAACTGAAAAATCACATTATATCCCACAAATAGGTGCATTATTATATGTCAGTAAAAAAAGATGAACAAATAAATAAACATTAATTTAAACATAAATATAAAAATACATAGATTTTTTTCTTTTTTAAGTAGGAGAAGAATCATGATCATCACAGTCTACTGTGAAACAAATGGCCACATCCCAGTTGCTGTTCGGCTCAGTGAAGCCCTTTCCCTGTGTTGGCCTCTGGCTGAGGTTCCCCCTCAGCCTTTTCCTTGCTGGCAGTGAACAGTTTGCATCAGTAACCCTCAGACAGGAGGAGAGGCAGATGTCCACCCTACTCCTGAAAGCATTTAGCTTCTACAGCATATGCGTTCACTGATGGTAGAATGGGATGAGTGGGCAAAGGTTGACTAAGAGCACAAGTTATTTAGGAATTTCTAAAAACTTACCAAAAGAAATGTGAATGACTTGATTCTTGCGGGATGGCTTGTTGCGTTACTAAAAAAGCATGATATACTTTGCCTCAGTAGTCTGTATGTTCTCTTATTTAAAAACCCGCACCCTGTCCACTCTCAGGTCAGTTGCCAAGCCTAGAGTTCATAGCAAAAGCACGCTATTGGTGCCAACCTGGAATGCTCTTGGCATTAGGACATTACTGCAACTGGCCTACAGGAATGCAATAGTGGATGATATGTAGCATGATATGTGATCTCTGACATTCCTTATAATTCTTCTGTTCTCATCTCCTTTTTTTCCTTTCTATTTCAATTACTTTGAGCAGCATCAAGAAAAAATTACCAATCCACCAAAATGAGTAAGTCCCCCTGTGAGGCCATGAAATGCTTGCTCTACACGATGCCATTTCATGCTTCTACATCCTAAACTCTGACCATTTTCTCCTCCAGGAAAAATGTCAAGTTTAGGTGTTGATAGCTCTCATTACTGACTAATCACTAGACCCTGAATTAGAAAAGCTAACAAAACCTAACCGAGTTGACAGTTTGTTTTTACAAAGAACTTAAAACAAACAGAAAGTGTCAAGATGCTAACACCCACATTGCAAGGTCTTTGAACATGCACTGATTTTTGTTTTTGTTTATCCTCCTTTTACTTGCCCCTCACTCAGATCTCTTTCAACATGTCTTCCTCTTCTGACTCAGTCTCTCTCTGCCAACAGGTTGGCCCACCCTGAGGGAAGCCTTCCAGACCTCACCATGATGAATCTTAGTGCCAGCTTAGAAAAGCCAGAGGTGAAGAAGTTGACTGAGTCTGGGGAGAAGTCAGAGGGATGCTCTGAAAAAGATGAGAATGGAGAACCTGGGAAAGACAGCGAGGAGTCCGAGGAGGATGAAGAGGAAGAGGAGGAATCAGAGGAGGAAGAAGAGACATCAGGTAATCAATCAGCCAACTCCCAGCCACTGCTCAGAATGTCCTGCATACCAGGCTGAGCAAATGAAAGAATGACTCACTTCAAAAAGGACACAGGAAATTTTGAAGGTTCATGGGAAAATGAAACTAAAGTATGAGTTTACTTTATTGGAAACAGTTTTGAAATCCATAGTTTTTTCATTATATGCATTTCCACGAACTTTTAAAATAAAATAGAGTGCTCCAGTAAGTAAAATAAAAGTTGGATTTATTTTTTATTTTTTATTTTGGAGCAGGTTATGGGCTTGGAGTTGGCTGTTGGAGTTATAATATTCCTGTTCTAATGTCTCCAGTAATTCCCTTAGTCTGACTGAGTGGAAGAGCAAGATGGTTGGTTATCGATTTCCAACTAATTAGCAGTGCTTCGTGGAGACACTTAAGGGGATGTAGCTCTAACCATCTCTTAGTCAGAAATCTCTCATAGGATCATTTCCTACCAGAAGCAAAAACAGGCCACTGTGCAGAATTTCTGAAAGTCCTAGACATGACCTTTACAAACACAATCAAAAAAAAAAAAAATTCTAGGCTTTCCCAGAAACCCAATAATTAAGAACACATTCTAGGCCTGGTCATGGCACCATGTGTTGGTTGGTGCGGCTCACTGAGCAGAGGTCACGTGGAGGTCTGTATTAAGTCCTAGCTGGATGTGATGGCACATGTTTATCATCCCAGCTTCTTGGGAAGCTCAAAGCAGGAGAATTGGATTATAGCAAGACCTTATGCAGGAAAAGGAGGGAGGCGAGAATATTTCTAGTCATGATGCTAAGTACATGGGAACTGGAGGAGAAAATGAGTAATCAGATAATGATCATTTCAGGCAAACACCTAGAGATGTGTCATCATTATTATTTTAGGATTTTTTTCCCCTTTTTATTCTTTAGGCTCTTTTTTCCTATTTTTCTTCCAAGACTGAACTAATGCTTTCACAGAACAGCTAAGAACTAAATAGCTTTAGTGATCAAAAAGTGTCATACAGAGAATATAAGAAGCAGAGAGTTTAGTCTATTCAGCAGTTCCCAGAAAGCATGGGAAAACCAGGTAGCACAGACCTGAGAATGATGGGCTGAGGTTGCCAAGTTAAGGTGTTATACTTGTCTTTTCTGGCCCTCTGTGCCTTACGAAAGTAGACAATAAAAAGGCAGCATGAGGTGGAGAATCCCTCCCAAAGGCAAGCACCCCCCAGATGTCGTCCCCGTCTCTCACTCATCTCAGAGACCCAGAAATGCCATCTCCATATCTGAGAGGGGTGTGTTTTCAGTGTAAAGGGGAGAGCCCAGCCTTATGAGACCAATTAACTAAGACTAGGATTTTATTATAATACTTTAAGGTGGGTCTCAAACTTTGCTAATAATGTCTCACCAAAAATTTTACTTAACCTTGGTCTCTCACTTTTTCATGTGCTTGTGATCTATAACTCTGAATCATGCTCATTTTTTTTTACCTAAACCTTTATATTGATTATCATCTGAATTGCTCCATAAATAAGCATTTTTCACAATAACTAAAATCTTACTTAACCTTTCAGAACCAAGTATCCTGTTAAAACTTCCAAGACCAGATAAAGTCTTTCTACTTAGAAAGACTCTTTGGTTGGGTCAGTTCCATGGCCTGGTGCTTAAAGCACCTGGATCCCATATATGCAATTTGAATCTTAGTTTCAGGCTACTGTGCAGAATTTCTGAAAGTCCTAGATAATACCTTTACAAACACATTCTCAAAAAAAAAAAAAATTCTAGGCTTTCCTAGAACCCAATAATTAAGAACACATTCTAGACCTAGTCATGGTACCATGTTCTGGTAGATGCTGCTCAGTGGGAAGAGGCTACAGGGAGGTCTGGATTAAGTCTCAGCTGGATGTGATATCACATGTTTATCGTTCCAGCTTCTTGGGAAGCTCGAAGCAGGAGAATTGGATTATAGTGAGACCCTGTACAAGAAAAGGATGGAGGGAACAGTAGCTTATGATAAAAAACCTGCTAGGCACATTTGTGTGAGTACACAAAATCCTAGCAGGGTGGGTAGATGGAGGAGAGGGCATTTCAACATGACCAGTCCCCATTGGGGACTACTTTTGCCTTTTCTCTTTGTCTCTCTAGTGAGCACACATCCCGTCCAGTAAGTTAAAATGAAAAAAAAGATACTTAGGCCTTATCTGCTTGGACTTGTGAACTTTTGTCTGCAGATATAGTAACATGCCAATAATACAAGACTCTCCTTTTGTGACTTTCAGTCAGATTAACCATTTCAGTCATTCTAAATGAGAAGCTTGGCCCCTGTGACTAGCATAAAATAAAAAGGATAAAATAATTTGATTAAAAATTATGATTAAAATGAATCTGGCTCCACTTCATGAAACCATGGGCTAGGTCACTCTGATACTCAGTGTTCACTACTCGTTCAGATGAGAAGCAGACTATCTGTGCTAGTGACAGCCTTCTGACTGGCTTGCTCTTCCAGAAAGATGAGAGAGCTTCAAGCCCTGCCCAGAGAAACTGGCTATTTGCAAGAAACATGTAATTTGGAGAAAACTCATTTTCCTTAATATTCCCAGAAAAGTAGAAAATTCTAGCATGGTATTAAGAGTAAGTGAAGTTAGGGCTAGCTGATGTTGCAACATTAAGACAACTGACTGCACTGGGAAAGATCCTAGGTTTGCATTCCGAGATCTCTCAGAACATGTGGACTGTGTGTGTGATCTGGACTGGCTGAGACTGGGGGTGGAGAACAGTATGAAGACCCTGTTGGGGTGCTTCTCTCTTGCTCTTTCTTAGAAGGAATAAGCAAACAAACTTAAAAAAGAGTAACTAAAGTCAAAATTCTTCTTTATGCCAGTTTAATTATAAGGTGGATAGAAGCAACTCTGTTCCTCAGAGTCTTGGTGTAGGACATCTGCGTCATCATCATAATATGGGATTCTTAGGCCACCTTTCCTCCAGATTTCGGTATTTTTAGAATTTATTCACTTTAGTTATGTTGCAGCTTCTCATTCCAATATGAAAGTTACAAGACATGCTTTAAATAATAATGACAAAAAATATATGACCTTTGTTGTATTTACTATTTTGCAGATTTAAGGAATAAATGGCATCTGGTAATAGACCGCCTCACTGTGCTCTTCTTAAAGTTCCTGGAGTATTTTCACAAGCTGCAGGTGTTCATGTGGTGGATTTTGGAGCTGCATATCATCAAAATTGTTTCATCATACATTATCTGGGTTTCCGTGAAAGAGGCAAGTGAACGTTGATTGTATCATCTGGCCAAATAGAACCATGATGTGTCTCTGTTGTCCTTTACCAACTGTCTATGACATTTTTTTAACATAATACCCATTACATTAGGGTATCAAGCTTTAGGATAGGTGCTTGCACTTCGACATACAGAAAACCAAAGGTCATTGTTCCTAAGAAGAGGAAACGAGAGCAGGAAAGAAAGAGTCCCATGGCCCTTTCTAATTGGCTCATATTATAAGAGTGGTTGCTTGCATCTAATTCTTGGTTTCAGTGCATGAAAGTGGGCTGCTTTTCTGTATTGCCTATGAGAATCTATCCCCCTTAAATCGTCTTTGAGGAAAACAATAACATTTCAGTTTTTGTTACAAAGAAGTTAATTCAGGTTACAAATCTAAAAAGTCTTTTGTAAGGTTCATTTTGTTTATTATTGGATTTTTTGAGATAAAATACAAAATCTCTCAAACTTACACTTCTACTGTACAAGGCAACTTCAAAAACTTTCTAGAAAACTGGAATTAAAGTACAAGTTAATATTGGTGCAAAAAAAAAAATGGGAAATCCATGCATTGGTTTTTCATAATCTGCACTTTCCATAAACTTTTTGAAGACCCCACCTACTTCTCTTTTCTTGTTTGTAAAGAAAAGAAGCATCATTTAGCCAACAATTATTTACTGCTTTTTGTGTAGAAACTATTCGTTAATTAATTCAACAAATAATTTTATGTACCTCTTATTTCCCTGAGCTGGTTCTGAGTGGCTTATATTTCAGTGTTTGCTCTTTAAAAGTTAATTCATGGACCTATGGCTTATAAGTTTTTAAAAGTTAAATAATGGGGTAATATTACAACTAAAATACTAAAAACCTAAAATATTTCACAAGTAGGTAACTAAGAGATAAACCCTAATGGGAACTCTCAAGTCTAAGTTAAAGTTTCTTGGAAACCATTTTGTACAAACATCTGAACTGGATAAGTATTCATTGCCAGGTGAGAACAAAATAAGAAATCCCTTTTTCTGTGAGTTATGAGGCAGAAAGTGATATATTGTCCATTGTTAAGTAGTTTGTACATCTTTATGTTAATTAGAGCCAAAACCCTAGCCTAATGTATATATTCATCGAGAGCAAAAGAGCTTGAATGTTGTAACTGTATAGGTGAATCAACCAACTCAGACATAATTTGAGGTTCAGAATATGAAAGAGAAATAAGAAAAGAACAGAAAAAGGTGTTGAACTTAAAACATGCAAAATCTTTCTGAATTAACCAAATCCAATACACGAATGACTTCTGTTTGCCTGAGAAGTTGTGCTGCAGAACTGTGGAGGCATACTAAGGCAATTTAGTAACGGTAGTGGATGCTACATGGACACTACATGAAAGAGAAATCAATGAGTCGGGCACAGAGAATCATCTGAAATCAACTCTAGAGTGTTCAGAAAAAAAAGGAGAGGAATAAGTGGTGCATGCCTTTGCATACCCTAAGCAAAAGATAGACTTTAAAAAAAAAATCATTATTAATGAGTCTAGAGAGAGTGGCTTGTTAATAGACTATCAGCTAAATACTGGATCATGATCTAGCCTCTTCAGTATACCATTAGAAAACAGCCTTTGACAGAATATGACCAAGTTCTTGTCTGTGATTCATGCATTTGCAGACTCCTAGAATTTTCATTCCTGACACCCTCTCTCTCACCTGTAACTTATAAATATGTGAGGACTTAGGAAGCAGAGAAGTGCTGCACACTGCTGCTGGCATCTACCCAAACCCACTGCTCTAAGATTGTTTTCACCCTCGTGTTGCATGGGATGTCATCCCTCATGGGGTTTTCAGTCCCAAAGGGTGAATCATGCCACAACTCTCAGATAAGTACCCATGGGAGTCTTCCTTCTCTGCATAGACTTTGGTTTCTGGGCCTCTGGCATCATGTACAAAGCCGATTCTTCTTACTTTTAAGTTTATTTATTTCATGAGTGAAACAAAGAAATAGAGAGCGAGAGAGAGGCATCCTTAACAGGGTTTTCATTCTGTAATCCGGCCTAGTCACAGCCAGCTCAGATCACAGGAATGTGTATGTATGCTCTATGTACAGCGGGATGCCTGGGGACATAAACCAGAACATCCCCCATGTAAATTCAGTTGTGTTAACCACTGCACCACCATCTGGCCACCAGAACTGATTCTTTTTAATATAACACATTGGGTAAGCAGCTTGCATGATGCATAATCATAAAAACACTTTGGGTTCATAGTTCCACTGTCCCTTTAAAAAGCATTTTATGAGCCCCAGCTGTGGTAGCACACAGACATCACCACTATGTGGAAGGCTGAAAGCTGCATTGGAGGCCTGGGTTCATTTCCCAGATTGGGCCAACCTGAACATACTAGACACAATGTTATACACCTATAATCCTAGCTAATAGAGAAGCTGGGGCAGGAGGGTCATGATGTAGAGGAACCTTTCAAAATGCTCTCTATCTCCTTTTCTACCTCTCATAAAGAAAAACAAAAACAAAATAGAAACAAATAAACAAAAAACACTCTACAAGGAAGCTTTCTCTGTGTTACTGAATGCAGCATATCTTCCAATTGTTCATAGGTAATGCAAAGTCCTATAGTGATTTTAAATAGCAAGGAAAATATCATGTCATTTAGTAAAACTGTTCAGCCACAGAAAATAATTAAAACTTGAATCGCTGACCCAGGCAGAAACTGCTCCCTTTCTTAGCTGCTTTTCTTTCTCACCCTCTTTCTCCCAGTGCTTCCCTCCTCTAGTTATCTAACTTCTGTTAGGAACCATTTCTCTCCTGGAGGCTTCTCTGTGAGGCCCTTGGTTTCCCAGCATTTGCTCCTCTTGGATCCTCTCTGGTCTGCCCCTTTCTAAGCATTCCTTCTGGGCAGTCTCTGAGCAGCTCTGGGCCCTGTCTCCCTCCCATATCAGATCCAAGGGCCACACTCTCATAGCCCCTGCCTTCTCTGTGCTCTACTAGAATAGCCCTTCCAACTCGCTGGTTTTCTGGGTGGAAGTTGAACATCTGTGCCCACACTCCAGAGAACATGCAGCAAGATCTCTCAGTGGTGCTGCTTGAAGCCCTTCACAGCTATGGGTGGAAAGTGTTGGTCTTTCTACACCCACCCACCCCATTATTTTAGGGACAGAGGAACCGATGAAATGCAGTGTATCTCTACAAAGACCACAACAACATGTTTTGGAGTCAAAATTTCCATATTCAAGACATCAGTTTGAATTTACACCAACTCTTGGAATCATCTCTCCCACAAATATTAAACTTTTGCAGAGTTACCGTAGGGCATCTGAGGAAGAAAAGGCCATTGGGAAATAATTTTTTTAGAAAAACCTTTAATGTACATCAGCATCTCTTACTTAGAAGTCACACCACTTTGGAATGTTCTGGATATAAATTATGTGCACACACAACACACACGCACACACATGACAGTACTTTAAAAAGTTTGTGGAAAAAATTCAATACAAGTTTAAGGGCAGACAGTGAGTCAGCAGTAACATAATGGGATCCACATGAAAGGTCCTGGATGCCCACCCCACGACCTTGCTGAGCACACCAGGTAGGTGCATGCCTGTGATCTGGGTCAGCTGAGACTGGAGAGTGGGTCACAGTGCAAAGACACTGTCAGAGGTAGCTGACTCCACTTGTGGAATAAATAAGTAAAAAGAACAAAAAAAGTACAAATATATTTTGGTGCCAAAAAAATGCATATTATGAAGAAACTATGCATGGATTTCAAAAAGTTTTGCACTATAAACTTGGACTTTCATCCCATTTTTCATTCTTTTTTTAAGAGATATTTGCCTTAGAGTATGTGCACTCACCAGAGAGAGACAGAGAGACAGAGACATTGAGAGAGAAACTGTTTTTACACTCAATGTCTTAAGTACACATTAAAAGAAATAACGAGATCCTTTTACAATATCTTTAACAGGATTTGTTTTTTAACCTCTAAATCAATATGGCATTTGATGTCACCTATGTTGGACACACACACACACACACACACACACACACACACACTCCTACACCCAGGTGTAGGTGAAATAAAGGACAAATTCCAATCCTTTAAAAAACATATATATATATATGTGGTGGGGGGGGGGCACTTGCTGATGACTAAGAAAGAAAAATCAGGAGCCAGATTGGCACTACAGTAAAGCAATTGGATCCATACAGGAAAGGTACTTGGTTCTTGTCCAGGGATCTCCCTGAGCACACAGGGCTTGCACACATGTGCATTTGATCCAGACTGACTGAGACTGGGGGTAGGCTGGATCATGGAGATCTTGTTGGAGGAGTCTCTCTCTCTCTTGCTTTCTGGGTCTCTCTCACAGAAGATATAAATGAATTAAATTTTAGAAATAAAAAGGAGAGTCAATTAGCTAATCAAAATATTGTGTTAAAATTTAATATTCATTATGTTTATTTATGTACTTAATAGTTTACAAATCATTTTGGCATACTGTATTTTTTTAGCCTCAAATTGTGCAAGGTAGCTCTTCCTACCCTAATATTTCAGCACTTAATTCTCAGGAAGGTTCTTTGCTTGGAGAGTGACAAGTAGCTAAGCAGAAAAGTAGCAAGTAACAAATTGCAGGATTGAATTCTGCCACATAGTCTGCACCTTTCCTTGTTTTATTGTTCCATAAACCTAATAGATAATCATACCCCATCAAGTTTAGTACTTGGTAAGTGTCCAGTTTTATCAATTGAGTGCATATTGTTACTTCCACCTGATAATTTTAAATGTTCCTTGGATACTATTTTAGCAATATTCAAAATTAATGAATATTTTTCATAAATGAATAAGATGCTGGTATATCTACACTGTTCAGTGAACAGTTAGCTACAGACAATAGCTGGAAATGAGGGGACATTTCATATGATCAATACACTCGCATGAAGTCTAAAGCCAATATGTTCAGGCTCTCCATCCTTAGAATTGCTTCCCTTTCAGAATTTCCTCCCTCTGGAATGGCACTGTTAGCAACTCAGGCTTCCAGGCAGAGACCTGGACATCCCTCTTTATACTTTCTGTCCTAGATTCCATCCCTTCCACTACCCTCACCAGGCCAATGTCATCAAATCCACCTAATGTGACTTTCCATCTCAAATCTGTGACTCTTCTCCATCTCTCTGGGGTATGTGCATTGATCTCCTGATCTCTAGTCTAATCCCTATAATGCACCCTCTCTTCTTTAGCTACATTTGTCTAAATGACATGTAAATCTTCTCTCAATTCCTCAGTGTAACAGACTCTGGCAGCTCTCCATTTTCTGCAGAATGGATTGATAGGCCGTTGATGGTTTAAAAAGGATTTATCAAAATGTGACTCGTGGTTGCAGCTCTAGTCTCACCTCCTGCTATGCTTTACCCTTTCAACTCTGAAATTCCTGGTTGCTTATAATTCCGTTTCCACCTTGCTACAGCATACTTATCTGCCTTTGCCCATACATCCTTTCCCTAGAATGTACTTTTCATCTTCCTTGTTCCAGCTCAGCTCAAGCATCAGCTCTTCCTGAAAATGCTTCCTAAACCTCCACACTGGGTCAAGGGCTCCTTCTTAGTGCTCTGCTGGGAGCCTGCCTGTTCCTCCTATAGCTTAACCATTGCTACATGTTGTAACATTACTTGGTAATTTATATATCTCTATCTCTCATTCAAGGCATAATGTCCTTAAGGGATGAGATTAGCACCATTACTAGCACCTAGGCCAATGCCTTGCACATGATAGAAACTCAATCAACATTTCCTGAACTGAGAAAATCAAGTAGTCATATTTTATGAGTGTTATACTATATTACGTATTTTTGTCCCCATTTCTCATTTTATGTTTTCAGGTGTCTCTGTTCAACTATGTATTTTTGATTTCTTGGGCTTTTGCTCTGCCATATGCCAAGTTGCGTCGTCTAGCTTCAAGTGTCTGCACTGTTTGGACGTGTGTGATTATCGTCTGCAAAATGTTGTACCAGCTCCAAACCATCAAGCCTGAGAACTTTTCTGTTAACTGTTCCTTGGTGAGCTTCAGTGATGAGGGAATCTTCCTGCCTTCCCTATAGGGAAATGAGACAAATATTTGGGGAACCTCTATCCGCAAGCACATTTGTATCTAGCTTATAATAACCTGTCTAGGTTGGATATATTCTGGCTCTGGGCATCTGCCCTATGTCTCCCTTCATAATGAAATTCCCCCCTTAAAATGGGCCTTTCCCTCCCTGTCTAATTGATGCCCCTTTGCTCAAAGTTGAAAGAAAATTATCTGAACTCTATCTATGAAGCCATTTTTTACTCTATTTTCTCTTCTTTTCAGCCAAATGAAAATCAAACAAACATACCACTTAGTGAGCTGAACAAGTCTCTACTCTACAATGCTCCTATTGATCCAACAGAGTGGGTTGGCCTGAGGAAGTCTTCTCCTTTGCTTGTCTATTTGAGGGTAACAGCTTTGTTGTGCTTAGTCTGGGTATCTGCACAGTTTTAACTGGGGAGCTTTTCCCTTGGGACTTTTACTATCACATTTGATATTAACCTCATCTGTGGCATTTGGAATCACCTTTGGAACATATGACTGAACCTTGAAATCAGTATTGCATTATGCTGAAAACAAGCTCACCAAGAACTCTGAGAGAGGTTGAATAAAGTATGACAAATACATTCACTGGAACATCATATAACTAACATTGGAATATCAGAGATTGAGGCTGATGGGTACATCAGAACTGAAACATGATGTTCAAAATAATGGATGGATCTTCAGAAAAGTCATGATTTTTTTTTGTTTTTCTATGCAAAAATGCATCATGACTTTTCCAACTATCCAATTTATTATTAACAATTTTTGAAAAGCAAAATTGTAAAATACTGTGCATAGTATAACCTCTTCAAGACGTGAAGGAAAATATTGGTTAAAATATTCCAAATGGTCAATAGTGCTCATTTCTGAGACATGGGTATAGCATTACAAGAAATTTTCTGTCTACATTCTTTTTCTCTATAACTTATAATAAAAAAAACATATTACATTTAGAAGCAATAAATTAAAGTGCATCTTTGCAAAAGGAACTTCATGAATACAAACATGATAAAAGAAACACACTTCAGATTTTTTCACATTTACTTTGATAGATCATCTAAGCAGGCCTAATCATATTACATCAAAAATGCATTTATAAATAAAACCTTCATACTCATCACTGGGTTTCCTTAAGTGTACTAAGCATCCCATTTTCTTTGACTATGTAACTTTCTGTTAGGTCGTCGGAAAAGTTAGTATGCATTTTTGCATAGAAAAACACAAAAAAATGCATCATGACTTTCCTGATGACCTAAGAGTTTTCCCCTGTATGGTGAATGTTATTTGTAATAGTCCCTTCCATATGTAGCTATTACATGGAGAACACCAACTGATATTTGAAAAGGGTAATTACAATAGTGTGGTACCTATAGTTCTGTAAGTGTTAACTATTTTTTCATTATTATTATTACTATTATTATTTGACTGTCAGAGCATGCTTTTCATTTACTGCCTTCTTGAACTGGATTTCAGAGGTGCTCAAAAATTTCCCTTCTCACTATTGCCCTACTTCCCCAGTTTAGTTAGTTTCCTAGGATATCTCCAGACTATGTTGCACCTCTAGTTGCAGACAAGGCTGTACAATCCCCATCAGATAACTGGAAACTGTGATATATACTTTTTGAGGGGAATAGGAATGAATAGTGGCAGTATTACCAGGGGACTTCAAAAAGTTCATGGAAAATGGAATTAAAGTACTAATTATTTTGTGTACCAAATTTTGAAATCTGTGCATAAGTTTTTTTAAAAATAATTATTTATTTTATTTTATTTATTCATTCATTCATTTTTTAATTTTACCAGAGAGAGACAGAGGTTGAGAGTGAGAGAGAGAGGAAGTGAGAAAGCAAGCCACCAGATTCAGGACTCGAACCCTGGTCGGCCATGTGGGAGTGTCCAGCGCCTTAACCACCACGCCATCTGCTGGTCCCCATAAGTTTTTTTCATCATGTGCATTTTCCCTTCCATGGACTTTCTGAAGCCCTCCATATGTCTACAGAGTCTATAATAGATCCTGTTACCATGGTACATAGCCTGATTTACATATAGAAGATACCCCTCAATAAATAAGACAGGGAAAATGAACCTTGAGCTCAATATTATATTCAATAAGAGGTGGAATTTTATGAAACATTATCCTTTGTAGGAATCAAGAATTATATATAATGATTTATTATGAGGATTGCCTAAAATTACCAGATCATAAAACATTTGGATCACTTTTCTTGCTTTGTAGAATAATCTTCTGATGCTGGCTATTCTGGCCTTTGAAGTTACAATTTACCGTCATCAAGAATACTATCGAGGTCGAAACAACCTTACAGCCCCGGTGTCCAAAACTATCTTTCATGACATTACAAGACTACATCTAGATGATGGACTTGTTAATTGTGCCAAATATTTCATAAATTACTTCTTCTACAAGTTTGGGTTAGAGGTGAGTTTCAGACTGATGTGTTTTATGTCTTTGCTATGAAAATTCAAATAGCTGTGATTGAGCAGTTTGCACTGGAGCTTTGTTATACACCTCCAGGCCATGATTACTACTGTCTCAGGGTCCGCAGAAGTAGTTTCTACTGATGAGTTAATCTGCTTTGGTTGAAAGTTTGCAAAAGCAGGTGTCAACGTCTGCAGAGAGGGGCACTTCGAGAGTCAGTCATCTAAATGCATGAATGTCAGTTGTCATGTTAACTGGTGTCTTATTAAAACATGAGGTATCGCTGGAGCCATAGTAACAGAGTGATAAAACGTAAAATTCTGTGAGGCAAGCCCACATGCAGAGGTTCTCAGTTCAAGTCTAGATATCTCCCTGAGTACACCAGACATGCATGTGCCCATGCCCGTGATCTGAGATGGCTGAGGCTGGGGAGTAGATGATGGTATTATAAGCCTGTGAGAAAAGTTGTCTCTCTCTCTTATTCAGTCTTCTCACCTAGGGAAGAAATGAATCAACTTTTTTTAAGAGGATAACAAATTATTAGTCTGCTTTGTTTTTGTGAATTCTGAAAGTATAACCTGCTGCCAAAATGAATTGTTTTAACCTGAAATGGTTGTGGTAATGCCTGTCCCTAGAAGAAATCTCCAACTGTGATATTCCATGAAGAGATTATAGCTGGTGTTCCCTTCACCTTTTGAGGTGTTTATGTAACAGTTTTTTTTCTGTTGGAAATTATATGTACAATATTTTTGTCTTCATGTGAAAAGATACTCAAAGAACCAAGGTATGGGGAACCCATGTAGACAGATCTGCCCAGAGAAACACAGGTCATTGCTACCTTCACAGGCCTGACACCCAATGCTACTCCCCTCCCCGTAAAATCCATCTTTGCCTCTTTTCATCCTTACACAGACCTGTTTCCTAATGTCAGTGAATGTAATCGGACAACGAATGGATTTCTATGCCATGATTCATGCCTGCTGGCTGATCGCCGTCTTGTATCGACGCCGAAGAAAAGCCATTGCGGAGGTCTGGCCCAAATACTGCTGCTTCCTGGCCTGCATCATCACCTTCCAATATTTCATCTGCATTGGCATCCCCCCTGCTCCTTGCCGAGGTGAGCCAGGGCCAGGAGATGGTGTAGTGGTAACTCTCCTGGAAAGGGCCCTGAAATAGTTCTAGGGCATTACTGAGTAGGCCCACTCATGCACATGCTCATGATCCAAACAAGCTGAAAAAGGGGGGTGGACCACGGTGTGAAGATACTGTTGAGGGTTCTTGTCTCTCTTTCTCTGTCTCTCTGTTTCCTAATTTCATGGAAACGAATACATAAATGAAGTTTACAAAACGAGATAAAGCCACTACCACATGGATGCCTGGAAGACAAACAGTGCAGGAGGTTGCTGATCTTGCTGCTTCTCCACTTTCGTATCTGCAGATTACCCGTGGAGATTCAAGGGTGCCAACTTCAATGACAACATCATCAAGTGGCTGTACTTTCCGGATTTCATTGTGCGGCCCAACCCTGTATTTCTTGCCTGTAAGTGTTTCAGCCACAGGCCCCCCAGAACGCTGATATGTGGGCTTCTGTTGCTAATCGTTCTTCACGTGACATGCATTAGTGCCTTTGCTTTTTCCGCTGGACCTCATAATCATGTTCAGGCTTATCTTTATGCATTAAGATCCCAAGTCATTAATGGCCTCTGCGTGCCCTATCACATTTAAAAATTAATAAATCAACACTGAAAATGCCATATTCGCGTGCATAATTTCACTTGCAATACACATCCCCCACAAACACATACACACACACACACACACATCTGTACACCTGCCTTTCAAAAGATTAAGTAGAAAAAGAGGCCTTGAATTTTAAAGATAAGACTGTGGTAGTGAGGAGGGTACTACCCAGATTTCAGGTACCCTAGAACTGGACTGCAGCCTAAGGCTTTTCCAGAGCAGCTGGTGATCCAAAAGTGGGAGCATCCCCCAAAGACAATAAAGAGTGCTGGATACTACAGAACTCAGACTTGAAAGTGAGTGACCTTCTTGAATATATTCTGATTTAATTTGCAAAGCAAGGAAGCAACTTGTGCTGTATGTAGGCCACCAGACAGGCATGGCGGAAGGCCCGGTCAGGGAGCGTGGCCCCAGAGGACAGACAGATATCTCCTTGAGCTCTCACAAACTGGTCACCACCTCTGCCTGCTCTCATCACATCTTCAGTGTGACTCACATTCTGGGAACAGTCTGGTTTCCAGTGCAGAGTGAATGGGAGGAATAAAGGAAAACAGAAATGTCTGCCTCTCTCACACATACCAAGACAAACAAAAACATGGGGGAAATGCACAGATAGCCACCTTAAAACGGGTGGGGGATGAATGCAAGTGGATGTGGCCACATCAGAGATAAGTAAAGAAGACTAGCAATTAGCACTTAATACATTGACTCACCAACATAGAAACAAGACCCAGAGAACCCCCACCCCATTGTGAGTCCCTGGAATGACTGAGGTCACTCTTATGGCCGTTGTCGAGGAGAAGGTGTGACATGGCTCAGCCTTGAAATCCAGGATAAATTTTACTATAGACTTTCAAACATACAACACAGGTCACTTAGGCAGTGGGGCCCCAGAGGTGGGAGGACTGGGTGTTATGGTGCTGTAAAAAAATAAAAGCAAGGTGGCTGCTTCACCATCTCACCCTTTCCCTGCCAGATGACTTCATGCTGCTGCTGTGTGCCTCCTTGCAACGGCAGATTTTTGAGGATGAAAATAAAGCCGCGGTGCGAATCATGGCTGGGGACAACGTCGAGATTTGTATGAACCTTGATGCAGCCTCATTCAGTCAACATAACCCTGTACCTGATTTCATTCACTGCAGGTAATAATGGCCTCACATTCTTCAGAACTTGCTTTACCGTGTGCATTTCACATGAATTGCTCCTCTCCATAAATTCTCTCTGTTCAATCCTTGGGAAGTAGATCAGCTGAATTAAGACTAATAAATGAGAGGCAGTGTGACTCAGTAGCTGAGAGGCTGAGTCTCCAAACTACAGTCCTGTGTCTGCCTTTTGTCAGTGTGAACCACCACCTTTATGGCCTCAGTTTTCCTTCTCTTCCTCATAAACTGATTCATGCCAATAATGCCACTTAGCAGCTCTCTGATGGAGAGTCCTTTTCATCTCACCTCCTATATGTCATCTTCCACCTCTCCTCCTCACCTCCCATTCTTCATCCTCATCCCCTTACCCTTTTCCTCATCTCCTGTTTCCCTGCTTACCCCCTGTCCCTTTCTTCATCCTCTGTACTCACAGGGCATTGTGCTGGTGTTTTTCTTATACAGTGCTCCCCCCTGGCCATGTAGGAGCTCTCTTTATAACCTTTTCTCTTCCCTGCCGTGGTCTCATGACAGCTGGCCATGGCAACCTAATTGCCCCCTTCATGGTGTTTGTGTTTAAACCATGCTCTATTTCTCAATGTGCATTTCATCTGTATCTCTGAATTTCCACTCCTGGCTTATATCACCTGATGCCTGCTCCATGGAGGGTCACCCACTCTGCCTCGCTAATCTGCTCTTCTAGCCTCAAGTCCTCCAAAGCCTTTTATAGTCACTGTAGCAACTTGTAGGGAAGCTGGTGTGACCTTGTGTGTCTCATTTCCTAGCTGTGTGACTTTGGACTGCTTTTCTAACCTCTGCTCCTCACTGGCTAGTGTCTATCCAGTAGCGCTGTTGTGAGGATGTTGTGAGGATGCAGTCACAGCCCCACATATTCCAGTGTGGGGTCACCATGGAAATCACTGTGAGGATACCAGCCAGTGCCTGCTCTCCACCACTGCAAGCAGCTCTCCAGCCTTGACCTCTCAGAGACTCCTAGTAGGAGTCACCTCTGCCTGGTCTTGTTATTTTAAGAACCAGTCTTACCCTTTCTAAGATGTAGGCATCTTAGAGTGAAGACTGCTTCTGACCTATATTTATACTTGTCCCCATTCCCCATCGACACGGTCTTTGGCCTACAGTGCAATAGCATCTATAACTACCCGTTACTCAATGCTTCCTAAGTGCCAGGCTCTGTTTCAAGTACTTCATATATATACATATGCATAGAGAGAAAGGGAAAGTGTGCTGTTTTCTCTCAACGACCATCCATGACTCGGTGATACTATTATTCCTGGTATGTAGGTAAGGAAACTGTGGCAGAGCTGAGACAAAGGCAATAGCAGAACAAGGATTTGAACTAAATCGACCTAGCCTCCAATTCTGAATTCCTATGCATTTAGCACCTCCTGGTAGCATAAGAAGCTCAATATACTGAATAAATCAATAAGTAAATTTGCTTCAAAACGATATGCTATATAGATTTGAGGATATTTTGTGAATAAAGCATTATACTAAACACTGGTCTGAGGTAGGACTTTTTACTTTTACATCATCTCTGTGATGCTAAGAGACAATTCAGTCCAGCTCATCCTGTTCCCTGGACAAAGGGAAAAAAGTAAGTACTTTGCATGTACCAATGAAAAGCATAAATGTCAACTCAAAGGAAAGCTTTTGTGCAAAACTGACTTTTTTCTTCAATTTTTTTAGAGGTTTTTGCGTTAGGGCGCATATGCTCCCCTGAGAGAGAGAAACAGAGACAGAGAGAGGAAAAGTGAGAAGTCACTGCTGGGGATGGCCATGCTACAATCCCTTCTCCTCCATTCTCCTCCCCAGATCTTGGGCACGCACATACATGCGCCCGACGTGAGTTTCAAGCCACCAGGTCTAGGACTCACACCTCAGTCAACATCTACTGGCCCTGTGGCACTGATTTTTAGAGCTGAATCCTGCCTTAATTGAATTATTTTAACTTCTAAAATCTGTTTTGTAACTAGGGTGCCAGAAAAGTGACCTCCTTCAGAGACTAACCTGTCAGACAGGCTGTGCATCAAGTTCGCGTGTTTTCTCATTAGAAACAGAGGAAGGACTTCCCTTTTTCTTCCATAGGAGCGGCTGCTGAGCTCTCTGGGAAGTAGCCAGGGCTGCGATATTTAAATGGCATCTTAACCAGAGCCCTCAACACTAGGACTTCATCAGTCTGCTGTGAGGTCTCAAAGGTTCATCTTTTTTTTTTTTTTTGAAAAGGTTTTTTTGCTATAGGGCGCATGCACTCACCAGACAGAGAGAGACATAGAGACAGAAAGCGAGAAATCACCCCCCGGGGGGGATGGCCACGCCACAATCCCTTCTCCTCCATTCTCCTCTCGGGATCTTGGGCATGTGCGCACAGGTGCCCGGCGTGAGTTTTAAGCCGCCGGGTCCGGGACGAGAACCACAGTTGACTACATGGGAGTCCAGCGACATAGCTATTATGCTAACTGCTGGTCCCCCCCAAAGGTTCATCTTCAGAGCATGTTTAGTGATGTTTTCCAGGTGGTCCTTGCGAACACAATTTTATGACTTCTGAACCTGAAGCAGGTCAAGTGCTAAGGAGAGACCAGGGCTTTTAGTACAAGAAATAGCAGGAAACATTCCTGTCTGTGTGAAATCTGTCCCAGCTAAGATGATGATAAGTATACAACAGGGCTTTCCCAGCTTACCCATTCATCCATCACTAATCATTTGAGGGTTTCCTATGTATTAAGCAGTACTCAGTGAAAACTGGATAAACACAGAGCTCACAGTGTGGCTTGCAAGGGCTTTTATATGAAGTCCAGTGTACACTGAATGTTTTCCCATATTGAAGCAGAATCTCCTGTCTTGTTTTTTTTTGTTTGTTTGTTTCATTGTTCTCCTTTTACTATTTGGGTGTTTTCCAGATCTTACTTAGACATGTCCAAAGTGATTATCTTCAGCTACCTCTTCTGGTTCGTCCTTACCATTATCTTCATTACTGGAACAACCAGGATCAGCATATTTTGCATGGGTTACTTGGTGGCCTGCTTCTACTTCCTGCTTTTTGGGGGCGATTTACTACTAAAACCCATCAAGAGCATTCTGCGCTACTGGGACTGGCTGATTGCATACAACGTTTTTGTGATTACAATGAAAAACATACTGTCAGTAAGTAGCTCCCACGGCATAACACATTTGTGGTTTCAGGGAGAGCGTAAACAATCCATTCAGTGGTTATTAAAAGCCCAGCGCCTATCATAACGCTCCCTTAAAAGCCCTAAATAAGAGAGAGAATTCACAACTCAAGTGACCATTTATTGTTTTTTGTTTGGCCCTATTAAGCAGAATCTTTTTGCTCATTTCCACCATTTCAAGGTCACATGACTAAAAGATAGGTTTTCATAGGAATAAATTCTAAAATGTATCCTATTAATTAAAATCCTATCCTTTCTGAGGAACAGTTTGTCATCACTCATAGTATGTGTGATGAAGCAGTCCTTTTTTAGAGCTGAATTAGCCATTGAGTGTTTTCAAAACTCAGATCATGATGGCAAAAAGCAAACTCCTGTGCCACCCCATGGCCTAGTGGTTAATAGATTTGGATCCTCCATGACCAACTGTACAGTTCAAGTCCCAGTCCAAACACTCCAGGTGTATATTTGTACTTGCCTCAGAACCCAACAGGATGAAGCACTGGAGGAGAAGAGATGGTGGCATGACCATACCCCATTGTGGGGTGCTTTCTTCCTCCCCCTTTCTGTCTCTCTGGTGAACACACACACCCTTTGACAATTAAAAAAAAAAATAATAAGAAGAAGAACTAAAGAATAAATCTTAAAATTAAAAAAAAAGAACAATAGCAGCACTATTACCTAGAAAGAACTGTAGACCTGTAAAATAAAATGAGTGTGGTTCTCTACAAATCTGTACAGGGTGAGGAAGGAGGTGGATATAGGCGGCCTTCCCTTTTTCTTCCATAGGAGCGGCTGCTGAGCTCTCTGGGAAGTAGCCAGGGCTGCGATATTTAAATGGCATCTTAACCAGAGCCCTCAACACTAGGACTTCATCAGTCTGCTGTGAGGTCTCAAAGGTTCATCTTTTTTTTTTTTTTTGAAAAGGTTTTTTTGCTATAGGGCGCATGCACTCACCAGACAGAGAGAGACATAGAGACAGAAAGCGAGAAATCACCCCCCGGGGGGGATGGCCACGCCACAATCCCTTCTCCTCCATTCTCCTCTCGGGATCTTGGGCATGTGCGCACAGGTGCCCGGCGTGAGTTTTAAGCCGCCGGGTCCGGGACGAGAACCACAGTTGACTACATGGGAGTCCAGCGACATAGCTATTATGCTAACTGCTGGTCCCCCCCAAAGGTTCATCTTCAGAGCATGTTTAGTGATGTTTTCCAGGTGGTCCTTGCGAACACAATTTTATGACTTCTGAACCTGAAGCAGGTCAAGTGCTAAGGAGAGACCAGGGCTTTTAGTACAAGAAATAGCAGGAAACATTCCTGTCTGTGTGAAATCTGTCCCAGCTAAGATGATGATAAGTATACAACAGGGCTTTCCCAGCTTACCCATTCATCCATCACTAATCATTTGAGGGTTTCCTATGTATTAAGCAGTACTCAGTGAAAACTGGATAAACACAGAGCTCACAGTGTGGCTTGCAAGGGCTTTTATATGAAGTCCAGTGTACACTGAATGTTTTCCCATATTGAAGCAGAATCTCCTGTCTTGTTTTTTTTTGTTTGTTTGTTTCATTGTTCTCCTTTTACTATTTGGGTGTTTTCCAGATCTTACTTAGACATGTCCAAAGTGATTATCTTCAGCTACCTCTTCTGGTTCGTCCTTACCATTATCTTCATTACTGGAACAACCAGGATCAGCATATTTTGCATGGGTTACTTGGTGGCCTGCTTCTACTTCCTGCTTTTTGGGGGCGATTTACTACTAAAACCCATCAAGAGCATTCTGCGCTACTGGGACTGGCTGATTGCATACAACGTTTTTGTGATTACAATGAAAAACATACTGTCAGTAAGTAGCTCCCACGGCATAACACATTTGTGGTTTCAGGGAGAGCGTAAACAATCCATTCAGTGGTTATTAAAAGCCCAGCGCCTATCATAACGCTCCCTTAAAAGCCCTAAATAAGAGAGAGAATTCACAACTCAAGTGACCATTTATTGTTTTTTGTTTGGCCCTATTAAGCAGAATCTTTTTGCTCATTTCCACCATTTCAAGGTCACATGACTAAAAGATAGGTTTTCATAGGAATAAATTCTAAAATGTATCCTATTAATTAAAATCCTATCCTTTCTGAGGAACAGTTTGTCATCACTCATAGTATGTGTGATGAAGCAGTCCTTTTTTAGAGCTGAATTAGCCATTGAGTGTTTTCAAAACTCAGATCATGATGGCAAAAAGCAAACTCCTGTGCCACCCCATGGCCTAGTGGTTAATAGATTTGGATCCTCCATGACCAACTGTACAGTTCAAGTCCCAGTCCAAACACTCCAGGTGTATATTTGTACTTGCCTCAGAACCCAACAGGATGAAGCACTGGAGGAGAAGAGATGGTGGCATGACCATACCCCATTGTGGGGTGCTTTCTTCCTCCCCCTTTCTGTCTCTCTGGTGAACACACACACCCTTTGACAATTAAAAAAAAAAAATAAGAGAAGAAGAACTAAAGAATAAATCTTAAAATTAAAAAAAAAGAACAATAGCAGCACTATTACCTAGAAAGAACTGTAGACCTGTAAAATAAAATGAGTGTGGTTCTCTACAAATCTGTACAGGGTGAGGAAGGAGGTGGATATAGGCTATTGAATGAAAGAATGTGTTATGTACCCATCAAATGTGGGTAGACCCAGGAGATGGCGGAGAAAACTCAGTGTCCTGTTTGCCCCTGAGCATAGATGTCCAGAATCAGATACAGCTAAAATAATGTAGGCCTGAGGAAGGACATGGACTCTTCCCAACAAGGTTTAGCTGCTCTACTACTCAATAGCTATGTCCAGGGCATAACTCTTCCCTAACATGATAGACAGCTCCAACTACCTGCTAGTAATTTCAGAGTTACATCAGTCCTTTAGGTTATAAGACACCATCTAAGTCTTTTAGTGCTACCAGAAATCAACCAACAATGTTTTAGGAGCTGACGGAGTTAATACCTTCCTCATTGGCCCTAACCAAGCCAGTCCCTAAGCCTGCTTTCCACAGGCTATGTCTTACACTGCAGTAGAAGGGCAGTGATATAATGATTCCTTGCTTCTCCCTATCTACTTAAGGATGAAATGGCACCTCATGATTCAACTATGTAAGCTATTTTATTTTGTGTGTGTGTGTGTGTGCACCACTATGTTTTGAGGTCTTAGAAGCCAAGTATTTGTAGCCATGAGTAGGTTTTTGAGTAGTTTGTCTACAGTCTATGGAATGATTAATTTTCTGGTTGATCGTAAAAGTGACTTTCATTCTACGCTTTTACCTCACTGACATTCGCTTATAGCTAGATTACTATTGAGAGTTGTGGGAGAGGGTATGAGACAGGATGACAAGACAGCATTTCATCCTAAAGCCATTCTGAAAGTGAGGCATCATTGCTGGGTGCTGATCTCAGGACCATCCCTGAAAAATGTATGGATACAATATTCATTCACTCATTCATTCTGTAACCATCTTTTTTCTTTTTTCTTTTATGAAAGAGAGAAAAGATAAGAAAAGGAGAGAGGCAGAAATACATTTTTTTCAGTTTATTTACTTATTTCTTCCATAAGAGAGAGAAATAGGAGTGGGATAGATAGGGGGAGAGAAAGATGGGCATCCACAACAGCGCCCTCGCACAGCAATCCATCCCAGCCTTAGCCAGCCTGACTCACAGGCAAGTGCATACAACACCTGGTGTGGGCAGGAGGCCCCAGGACATAAACCTAGGATCTTCCCATATGGGTCCAGCATTAGTGTGTTGTGTTACCACCATGCTACCGTCTGGCTACAGAGATAGCTTTTTTTGACAGGATCTTGCCTCCTTCAACAGTCTTCCAATTAGTTGGGATTTTTGAGTGAGTACAACTACACCCAGTATCTTACAGTTGGCCTAGAAACCAAACCCTGGCCTCTCATGGAGCCTCCAGCCTCCAAAGCAATGGTGCTATATATGTGCCACCCAGCTGAACCATATAAACCTCTGTTATAGACCTGATCTTTGCTAAGTCCTGTGTTATATCCCAAAGAACTAAAAATAAATAGAACTCAAGTTTTTCCCTTCAGAAATTAATGTTCTAAAAGGAATTATAGTCCTATTTATAAATAATTATAAGTGGTTAATGATTATCAAAACATTTTAGTAAAACAAATCAAAAATAAATTAGTTAATTAATAAACAAATGAAGTGTGCCTCATTATTTTACCTAGTTAAATTGGAAGGAAGCTTTCTAGAGAGGATGGCATTTAAATCTTCAGAGATTTTTAAAAATATATTGAAGTATCTCCAGAGAGACTAAGGAGAAAGAAAACTCCCATTATGGAAAATGAGAACAAAAACATGGTGGTATAGGATTAGAATATTGGTTTGGGAAGCATGTGCTAGGATTGGGGAACCCATACCAAATAATCACTACTTTGGAAGTAAATCTTACTGATATTCTCCTCCCTCACATGTTCCCAGGAAATATACACAATTCAGCCATCACCTTTTGTGTTGGCTTGCAACGATTAGTGGTTGCTTAAGTTTTTTTCCCTTAGTATTTGAACTTAACTATTTTCAGTATGAGACAACTACATGTCAATTAACAAAGATTTCTTAACCCAGAGAATTGGCCAAACGAGTCTCAAGACACATACTATATTCCTCTTCTGAGAACTATACCCTACAACCTATGTCTGGGATGACCTCCTTAGGAATACAGAGAATTCATTGGTCTGACCTGTGAGAAGATAAGTCTTCTGAAATCAAAGTCCTAGGAATCAGTGTGCACCCATTTGCTCTCACAGACTTGGAACTTATTCCTACAACAGCACAGGATTCCCTCCTTGAAAAGAAAAGTGCTTCCAAGTGCAGAAATCATGACACTAAAGACTCTTCTTTTGCTCCCCAAGTATAATTTTCCTCAGCAATTTTTGTTGCTACTGAGGCAGCTCACTAACCCATGGCAACTGAATTTTATTAAATACAACTGGTACCTCCTGTAATCATTGACTTTGAAGCCTTGTGAATTCTTGCATGTGTTAGGATAGCAAGACATCAAACTTTTTTTTTTAAGGGGGGGTGCAGTTCTAGAATTTGTCCTCCCCATTTTTTTTTTTTCCAGATAGGAGCATGTGGATACATTGGAACATTGGTTCAAAATAGTTGCTGGTTGATCCAGGCTTTCAGTTTGGCCTGCACAGTCAAAGGCTATAAAATGCGTAAGTATGAAAAACACATTTGGAAGTGGATGGGGAAAACAAGGACAGTTGTATTATTCTAATTTTAAAATTGGGCTGTAGTACATAAACGGGATAACAATGAAAGTCAATTCTCTCTATAAATGAAAGCTGTGGAACTGTAGTGCTTTGTGAATCTATTGTCCATAACTGGAGATGTCCCTATTGTAGGCATCTTTATCTTCTAGAAACTTGCCCAAACTCCAGCAGACTTTGGGATTGGGCATAGTGTTGTAGTAATGTAACTCTCCAGACTTCTTTTTTTTCTTTTTAAATATACATGCATATTCCCAGTTAAGTGACTTATAGAGCTTGCTGGTAAGTGAGAGGTCCTGAGATGTGAATCCAGGACCTTTCCCATGCAGACCTTTTTGTGTTACCCCACAATACCACCGAGCCTCATTCCTTAGACTTTTAATGAGTTATAGTTATGAAGGATCCTAGAAGCCATTCAAACCCACAGCTATTTTTCATAGAATCTTGGGTCCTTAAGGTACCTGATTTCCAGGCCATTTTCTCCTCAAGGAACTTCAAATTCAGGAAAGCAATTGGCAGGAGCACAAGGGCTTCTAGAATTAGGCTTCCACCAAGACAATGGCAGAAGTGACATTTCCCCCACCCTGTCTCTTGCATCAGAACCAAGGACAATGTCACAGATGGTCTTTCACGGTGCCCACTGGTGACTGCTTAGACACAGTGCCCACCTCTCATTGCTTCTAATTCAGGCTAAACTTGGATGAGGATGAAGCATCATTGGAAATTTGTTTTTAATTAAAATAAGAATTGTTGCTGTTCCTTTTCTAATAAATCATACTGTGTTCATTGTTATGCTGATCACCTCTGGACAGAGTCCATTTCCAGAAATGGTGTTGTCTTTCTTTGTTTAATCTCTTTTAAATTTATCTATTTCTTCCATGTGATTCTTAAAAGCTCAGTTTATGATTTCTGGACCTGAGAGACAGAAAGACAGAGAACTCCAAGAAAGATCTTCTTGAGGTAGAAGATCTTGTCTCAGTCAACCCAGACCACATGGTACACACATGAACTCAGCATATACAGGGAAGCACCAAACCCAAGACCCGCCCCCCCCCACCATGGATCCAATTACATGACCATTGCATCACCACCTGCCCTCTCACAAAAGGTGTTTTCTAGCAGAGCATTTTCTTTGCTGTGGGACATTACTTCTCCTTGGCCTTTGCTGAGAGTTCGCTTCTCAATAAGAGAGAGAAATACTCTGGAGGCCTTCCTGTCAAGGAGCCCTCTTGTGCCTGCTTTACAGTATCGTGTGTTCACTGTATGGTCAGCCTCATGGCAATATTGAGATTGGATTTGAAGTACATAGCCTCACTTGTGAATAAATCAGTTCATTAGTAAGTCAATGCATCAGAATGTGATTTCCCAAGCCCTTCTCATACTACAGATTTTATTTTTTAAATGGAAATCAATGTTAATTTTAATTTATTTTTTTCTTACCTTTTTGACCAGCTGATGATAATTCACCCTGCAAACTGCCCAGTGGTGAAGCAGGAATTATTTGGGATAGCATATGTTTTGCCTTCCTCCTGCTGCAAAGAAGAGTTTTCATGAGTTATTATTTCCTACATGTTGTGGCTGACATAAAAGCTTCACAGATCCTGGCTTCAAGGTGAGTTAGGCCATAGAATCAAGTGGCTTCTCTTGAGAAACTTGCCCGAGAACATGAATGCACTATACTTCCTGAGCTTGCTTGTAGAAGCCAGAAAAAACTAAGATATCCCTTCTAGCCCAAAGTCTTTAAGATCTAAAATAGAAAGTAACAAGAAAATCTATGGAGCCCAGTCATATTTGGCAAGGGTTAGGGACACCGTGGAAGGTCAAATAAACACTGGTAGATGATTAGAGCACTCAGCATATCCCACCTCACTGGTGGCTCGTTCTAGCCTCAGCCAAAATAGTAACATAGACCATGTTGATGCAGAGTTTTTTCCATCTTCCTTCCTCTCTCTGCTTCTATTTTAAGAAAGAAATTCAGGAAAATGGTGAAAAACATAATTATTTTGTAGATATTAAGTAGAGAAGTATTATGATACTCCAACCTTACCCTAAACTCTTGTTTTTCCTCTGAGGAAAGAAAACTAACCATTTCTATTCCATACCACAATCAACATAAGAATTCTATGACTTCTGGTCATCCAAGAAGTGCATGAAGGGCTTTCTCCCCACCTTCAAGTACTCAGTTCTGCAGCAGACAGCTGCTTGCTGTCCTCTAATTCAATTAAATCCTAACACTGTCTCCTGGAGATCACAGGTCAGGTCCCACAGTTGAGGTCTCAGTCCCCAAGAGTGCCCTCCTTTCAGATACCAATGAAAAGCCCCACATTATTTACCTGTGTTTCTTTCTCTTTTTTTTTTTTTTTTTGGAGAGGTTTTTGCTATAGGGCGCGTGCGCTCACCAGACAGATAGAGAGAGATATAGAGACAGAAAGCGAGAAATCACCCCCCAGGGGGTATGGTCACGCCGCAATCCCTTCTCCTCCATTCTCCTCTTGGGATCTTGGGCACGCACGCACACACACCTGGCATGAGTTTTAAGCCACTGGGTCCAGGACGCGAACCGCGGTCGACAACATGGGAGTCCAGCGACATAGCCATTACGCTAACTGCTGGTTCACTATTTACCTGTGTTTCTGACTAACCAACTATAAAATCAGAGTTGCTGTGACCTCTTTGGGTTTGATTAATTTGCTTGAACGACTTGCAGAACTCAGGAAAACACAAATTATCAGTTTTGTAAATTATATTAAAATAACTTGACTCAGGTCAAGTTATGGGGGGACGAGATGTCAAGCTTCCATGCCCTCTCTGGGCACTCTGCCCTCCAAGAGCCTCCAAGATTCAGTAATCTAGAAGATCTTTGAAACCTGCTCTTCTGGGTGTTTATGGAGGCTTCATTACAAGCATAGGTATGATTAATAATGCTATTGGCCATTAGTGATGTTAAACTCTTTTTTTTTTTTTTTTGGAGAGGTTTTGTTTCACTATAGGGCGCATGCACTCGCCAGACACACAGAGAGAGACAGAGAGACAGAAAGCGAGAAATCACCCCCCAAGAGGGGATGGTCACGCCACAATCCCTTCTCCTCCCTTCTCCTCTCGGGATCTTGGGCACACACGCACACACACCTGGCGTGAGTTTTAAGCCACTGGGTCCAGGACGCGAACCGCGGTCGACTACATGGGAGTCCAGCGACATAGCCATTACGCTAACTGCTGGTTCCCAGTGATGTTAAATTCTTAAGGTGAGAGAGAGGCTGCAAGTCCCACCCCATGGTCTTTCCAGTGATCAGTCTTCGTCTTGAAACTAACTACTTAAGGGATGCCAACCACCTGCATACATTAGCATTAAAAGACATCCTTGTGAAGATTCCAAGGATTTTCAGAATTGTATGCCAGGAAAAGAGGAAAAAGACCAAAAATAAGTTTCCCAATATTACATTCCCTTACCTTTCCTTACCTTCTTCTTCCTTTTAGTCTCTCTTTTACCCCTTACTCTCTTGATTATCTCCTCTGGGCCATCTTGTTCTCTCTCAGACACCCATCATAATTACACATTTATATGCCCTATCTTCCTACCAGGCTATAAGCTCTGTGAGTGTAGGACTAGTACTGTCTCAGTCCATCTGGGCCACCATAACAAAAATGCCATGACTAGGTGGCTTATAAACAACATTCATTTATTTCTGGAGTCTGGGAGATACAGGACCAAGGTACTGGCTTATTTGGTGTCTGGTGAGGGCCTGCTTTTTCATAAACAACTATTTTCTCACCATGTCTTCTTATGGAGAATGGGGCAAGAGACTTCTCTTGGGCCTTTTTTTCCACAAGGACAGTAATCCCATTTATAAGTGCTCAGCCCTCATGGCATAGTTATTTCCCAAAGACCCTACCTTCTATACCATCACCTTGGGAGTTAAGATTTCAGCATATTAATTTGGGGGAGAAGGGGACACAAACATTCAATTATAGCAAGTGTGATGGTTAAAGACCTTCAAAGAGTGACACAGTTTTATCGAGGGTATATAACCAACTTCAGTGACATAAACCAAAGTAGCCATCCATGCTGAGCTGCAGTCTGAAGGATGAAGAGGAGTTACTCAGAAAAAAAAAAAAAAGTTCAGGAAGGCAGACCTAGTGAAACTACAAAAGGAAGTTCTCATTGAGGACCTTCCAAGAAGCTCAGAATGGCTGAAACACTGAAACACTGAAGTTTAAAATGAGGATAATAGTGAGAGGTGAGAAATAAAGCCAGAGAGGTAGGAGGGACCAGGTTATCTAGGAATGAGAAGCCAAGTTTATGGTTTTATAAATAATTCCACAGGCACTAGGAAGACATTGAAGTGTTTGAACAAGGGGGTGATGTGCCTGCATTGGCATTTCAGGAAGCTCACTGCACTTGTACAATGGAGAACAGAAGAGTGTAAGCAGGACTGTAGGCATAGAGATAATTAAGTGGCTGCTATGATGATCCAAGATAGGACCAAGTCAGGACCAAGATGGGATAAATTAGAAAAATACTGAAGAGGTAAAATTGGCACAACTGGGAAGCTGATTGGAAGGAAGGGACATGGTGGTGGGGAGAAAAGAGTTGAGGGTGATATGCCCAGGATTCTGGCTTAAGAAGAGGTAGTACCAATTCCAAATATGGAGAATCCAAGGAACTGTAGACTGGAAGGAAGGCTCACCACTGCTATGAGGCTCAGCACTGCTATAGAGTCATAGGTCTCATGAGCATATGAAACTCAATCAGTTAGGAAGTCCAGTGCATAGATGAGTGGACAGGTTTAAAAAGGTGAATAGATTTTATTGCCATCATCACAGAAGTGCCATTGGAGCATGTGAGATGGAGCTGCCTAGAGAGAGGGTGAAGAGTGAGAAGAGGATCCTGGGTGACATTTCCATTTAAGCAATAAGCAAATAAAAAGGTTGAAAACCAAGAAGCCTGAGCCAGAAAAGAAAAAGGAAAAGCAGGTGACCATGCTGAATTAGGAGCCTGAGGAAGATGGTTTCCAAATAGAAATTCAAAGATAGGTTATAGAAAGAAAAGACTGACCATTCAACATTGAAATCAGTGACCTTGACCAGTGGAGGTCAAAGCCACACCGCCACAATCTGAGGTTGAAGATTGAGGCTTGGAGACAGTGATTGCAAGGTATTTGACTGTGAAGGGACAGCAATGAAAATCCATACATGGGAAAATGTGGGGTAGACGTGGTTCGTTCTCATTTTTTAAGAGTAGCAAAACTTGCTCATGTTTGCATGCTTACGAGAAGAATTCGGTAGTGATGAAAGGTGAAAAATGCAGGAAAAGAACAAATGGGAGGATGGTGTCCCTTGGTGAGAGAGTGGAGAAAGGACCCTGAGCACAGGGCAGGCAATGGATAAGCAGGAGGATGGCACCTGTCTTTCTGTCACTGCAGAAAAGGTGGTTTGTGGGAAATACAGGTGGCCAGAAGCTGAGCAATTTGATTCACTGCATTATGATTTATGTTGTCTCTAGGAAATAGGAAAATAAGTCATTTACTAGGAGTTAAAGAGCCACTTGACAAAAATTCAATATTTGAGAAAAGTATAAGGAGTTTGCAACAACCACTGCAGAAAGGAAAATTTCCAGCGAGTGTAGGGGCTGAGTGGAAAATAGTCTGCCAATTCTGGCATTTTCTTCAGCTGACAACAGCCCCTCCCAACATAAGGCAGGCACACCACTGGGTTCCCAAGATTTGGTTTACGTAAGACCGAGCTGAAGATTGCAAGAGGTTAAGGAAATTATGGGATGGTGAAGTGGCTTCAGAAGTGAGAGCAAAGGAAGTAGATAGAAAGAGAAAGAGGCAAAAGGCTGCAAGTCCCTTGGATGGATCAGGAACTCTCTGTTGGCATATTCCCTGAAGGAAGCACCCATGCCATTCCTTTTTCTGACCACTGAGTAGTAAACTAATCTGAATTCACTCCTTGAAAATTTCTCCCTCAGGGAACAACTACTATAAGATCAGGTGAGCAACAGATTGATGAGAAATACAACAGTTTGTGGGACAGGTTTAAAGAGACATATGACCTGAATGTCTTAGAATATTCAAGCTGCTTTCTCTTCAGTATTCTACCCACATGTAACCAGCCCACCCACTCCCAGGTGGAAGGCTGTTTATATGTATGTGGGGTCTACAGAAAGTTCATGGAAAATGTGTATTATGAAAAAACTATACATGAATTTCAAAAATGTTTTTCGCCAAAATAAATTAGTACTTTAATTCCATTTTCCATGAAATTTTTGAAGTCCTCTCATACACTGGGAAAGGGCTTCTGGGAGGGACCTTGTGACTCTCCCTGATAGCCAGGAAACTTCACTCATCTGCCAGGAAGGAGTTGTTGTGGTTTCTAACCTTGGTAATCATTTTCAGGGCAAGGTAAACAACAATGACAAAAGTACTGATTTGTGCTATTTCCATTTTCCCTTTAGAGGAGCTGAACTATTCCAGGCCACAATTGTAAAAGCTGTGAAGGCAAGGATTGAGGAAGAAAAAAAGTCCATGGACCAACTGAAGAGACAGTAAGATGTCTTATTTTACTCCCATTCTCCTTCCTATCTATTTTCTGATGTGTATGACTATATTCAGCTAACACTCTGCTCTCATAGAGCCTAAACCTCTGCAAAATATATCTGTGTCCACTTTCTCAACTCCCTAGGTGTCTACTCTTCTATCGGGGCAAGTGCTTAGGCCTGCTAGACTAGAAATGAAACTCTTTTTTTTTTTTTGGACTAGGGCACGTGCACTCGCCAGAAAGACAAAGAGAGACAGACAGACAGAAAGCGAGAAATCAATCACCCCCCAGGGGTGATGACCATGCCGCAATCCTCTCTCCTCCATTCTCCTCTTGGGATCCTGGGTATGCACGCATAGGCGCCCAACGTGAATTTTAGCCACCGGGTCTGGGACTCGAACCAGGGTCAACTATGTGGGAGTTCCACAACATAGCCATTACGCTAACTGCTGGTCCCATGGAAATGAAAGTTGTTTAACAGAAATATGTCTCCAGGATAATGGAAAGAGAGACCTCTTAGATAAACCAGCCATCAATTTCCAGTTCACTTACTTTAGAACTTTGAGCAGGTCAGTTTTCTGAAGTGAGTTTTCTATTTTTATGTTTTTATTTTCTTTTTTATAGATCTTTGCCATAGAGAACGTGCACTTGCCTGAGAGGCAGAGAGACAGAAAGCAAGAATCACTCCCTCCAGGGAGAATGTCCATGATGCTGCAATTCCTTTTCTTCCATTTTCCTCTTGAGATTTGGAGCATGCACACACACACACACACACACACACACACACACACACTCAGCATGAGTTTTAAGCCACTAGGTCAGGGATGCAGACTGCACTCAGTTATGTGGGAGTCCAGTGCCTTAACCACTATGCCACCTGCTGGCCCCAAGTTTCCTACTTTTAAAATAAAGCTCATAGTTCTACATTCCTGACTTTTTTATAAAAATTAAACTAGTTAATAATGAATGAGCAGCCAGGTGGTGACAAAGTGGTATTGCAACTGAGCCCACATGGGAAAGATCCTGAATTTGCATCCTGGACCTCCCTGACAAGGATTGGTGAATGCCTCATAATTGGGCTGAGGCTGGGTGTGGGTTGCAGCATGAAGACCCTGTAGGGGGAGCCACTTTCTCTTTCTCAGTCTCTTTGTCTCTTCACCTCTCTCTCTCTCTCTCCCTCGGAAGAAAAAAATAAACCATTAAAAATAAAGTAAGAATAAGGGGCACAGTGGTAACGCCACTGGACCCATATGGGAAGATTCCCAGTTCCTGTCCTACTACTCCTGGTGTACTCCAGATTCATGCACATGCCTGCAATGCATGCTGGCTGAAGCTGGGGGTAGATTGCAACATGAAGACCCTATTGATGGTGCCTCTCTCTCTCTCTCTCTCTCTCTTCTCTTTTTCTCTCAAGCTCTCTGTCTTTCTCTCATGGAAAATAATAATAATAATGACTGGGACAGGGTCTTTCCCAGTGACAAGTACTTGGAGTAAATGTTAATTATAGCTGTGGTTTAAGAAATAAATACAGAACCAGCTTTGGAAGCATCTTTTATAATAATATAATCTAATGTCTTCAGCAAGAAACTGATGAGCCTGATTTTAGATGACTTGGAGTTCACACTAACTAAAGCTAGCACCTCAAATATAACCTACATTTCCCTGTATTCAATTCAGAACATTTCCACTACACCATTTTATATGTGGGGTGGGCTGACTCCACCCAGGAGATTTGATAATTCCATTGAAAACTATTTTGGTTGAGCCAGAGGAAGACAGAAGAGCAAGTTGTGAGGGAAGAGGGTGGCAACCAAGAGGAAACGGCATGAGGGCTTGGCGGTGCAGGCAAAGAAGCCGAAAAGAAATGACACAGATGCTGGGACACCAGCAAAGTGACGTGTCGTGCCAGAGGAGGTGGAGGAAGAAGAGAGAGACCATATCCCAGGTCCTATTTGGAAGGGCAAGGAAAAATAAGGAATGAATTCTCATTTTTTCTTCCAGAGGAATAAATTTAGAACAAGACATTTAATACAGGACTTGAGGATGCTGATGCCTCATTCTAAAGCAGATACTAAAATGGATCATAAAAATAAAATTATTTGTGGTTAATGAGGCCCTCAAATTGCCCTCATGGACCATCTGCTAAATTCCTTTTTCAAAATACTCATACCCTCACTAAAGCTGACCAGAAACTAGAAGGATCTCGGCCCATTTTGTCTTTTGATCCTGTTTTTGATGAATCGCCACATTATGCTTTATTTAAATTACTCCTACTTCAGATATTTAGTACACTAGGGTATCATTCTGAAAGTCAACCATTTGGGTACTATGTATTTACTTTCACATTTTGGATAATAGAATATGGTTTTGGAACTTTCAGATCATAGAAGATACTGCTCTTATAGAAATAGGACCTCATTTTGTCCTAAACCACATAAAGATTTTCCAAGGAAGTTTTGGAGGACCAACTTTATATGAAAATCCTCACTACAAGTCACAAATATGCATCAGCATATTGTAAGATCCATCCCTGCTGCAAAATGCAGGGAAGCAGCAAGCGAAGGATGTACAGAAGCTGAGAAAGAAGGAGCAAAGACTGTTCTTCTGCATGATCCCACTGAAGACATTTTTGCTATACCAGCTGAGGAGAAACCAAAAGAAATATTGTGGGTAAAACCAGAGCCAAATATTGATTTGAAAGCAAGAAAGAAAACTATTTACAAAAGGCCTAGAAAAATGCAACAGAAAAAAAAATGCAACAGAAGATGGACAAAATGAATGCAAAATTAATCAATGATATTTAGTCTATATTCAATATCTAAATACTTTTATCATTGAGGACTATCTTATGTCTAATTAGACATTAGTGTGGCATTTAAGGAAAAAAATTGAAATCTTTGAATCAGTGATGTTTATCTTTTTCTAAATAAAATATTACCAGAAAGGAAAGAAAGAAAGAAAGAAAGAAAGAAAGAAAGAAAGAAAGAAAGAAAGAAAGAAAGAAAGAAAGAAAGAAAGAAAGAAAGAAAGAAAGAAA